CCCCACTCGGATCCAAAGAGGGAAGGACATGCGGTGATGCGTCCTGTCCTCCCGTCGGTGACCCCATGGGAGTATGCAGCCCTGCCTTGACACGGGACCCCCATGCTGGTGTATTGAGTGCGGTATGATGTCTTTGGCAGGTCGCGGGCTCTCCGTGTCGGCCCAATCTGGGCGTGCTGTATCGCTGAGGGCTTGGAACTGGTTGCTGATGCTGAAGTCGGTGCCGAGGTCGGTGCTGTCGCGATCCTTCTTGGCACGACGTCTCTGGAACCTGCGGCGTCTCCGATTGTCGGCGACTGCTCGTGTTTTCCTCCAGCGCTCACCCAAAATACCGTCACTTTCTCTTCGCTGGAAGTGCCCAGGCCGTCAAGAAAAGTAGCCGCTCCGTCTTCCAGCACTGAGATATGGATCGCCTTGGAGACGGCTTCGCCTCCATTTGCAAGGGCAGCCGGCAACGCATCCTTGCAGCCCCCCTCGGGGCTTGTGGCCTGAAGGTCCCGCTGGTCGGTCTCGGCGCGACTCCTTGAAGGCAGTGCGCTGTTGAGGGTTCTGCCTGGCGCCCCTTGAGACGCGGCAGTAGGCCGTGCCAGTCTTGGAAGTGTTACCATGGCATCTCGAGACCTTGGCGACGGCAGCGGTGCTTGCCGCGAGCGACTGCAGCTCGGTGTTCGACACCTCTCTGGCGCTGCTGCGGGCTGCTCCTGCGACGTTGGGACGATGGCCTCGCAAGACCATCTGCCCCGCGGGCTGAAAGAAGCAAGATTGCGCCATTGAAGCCCAGTGGTGTGTGAAATACCCACTGAAGTTACTAGACGGCTATGCAAACAAAAAAGCCCATCCGCCGCGGCGCTATCAGCTGAATGGGCGTGGCCCGAGACTTGGGCACTGCAGTGGGCGACTTCACTGTTTGCACAGGCCCCCTCAACCGAGAACCTCTTGCCTCCGCTGCCGCTGGAGCCCGATGCTGGCCAGCCCCATGGAGGATGCGCACTGAGCCCGCAGCTGCCCATCCTGCCGAGCTGGGCCCCTCGGCCAATCCTTGCGGTGAATTATGTCATGCATGTCCTGGGGGGGCGCGGCGCTGCTAGGCGGCCTCGCCCCCTGCGGGGGCTCGGCGGCGACTGCTGCTGCCAGCTCGTCTTCCCCAGGGTCTGCAGGGGAGGAGGAGGCTGCTCCCGCAGCCCTTGCCTCGTCTCTTCTGCGGGCGGCTCGGCCACGAAAACGTGCTATCCCTGATTCACCAGAGTCGACTCGCTGAACCTTGGCTGCCCCGCCCCTCGCTTCTGTGGGGAATGTGGGCGCAGCCCCGAAGGCCTCCTCTGGCGATCTGCCCTCCTCGGGCGCGCTGGTCAGCTGTCTCGCCAAGCTGTCGATGCTGTCGCACTGGCGCTCGATGCTGCTGCCGGCGGCCTCCGCCGATGAGGGCCCGCGCAGCGTGTGCTGCGGGATAAGCTCGTACTCCTCGCGGGCAGCCTGGCCTCCAGGCGCCGTGTGAGCCCCTGGTGGCAGCGAGCGCGTTGGCGACAGGGATGCCTTAGACTGATGCCCAGGTGAGCCTTGGATGCGAATGGTGGGCATGTCTTCTGTCCTCCTTGGCGCCTCAGGGTCCGGCTGTCCTGGCGGCGCCGAGCTGGCCCTGGACGTGGATGCTAGGTCGGTGGTTTCCTCGTCGGCCTGATGCTCCTCGTCCTCACCTCCTTGCGCTGCCTGCTGAGTTGGCGACCCCGAGTCCCGGTCCCAGTAGCCGCTGCAGGCTTAGTCCGCACTGCTCGCACAGCTCCCACTGGGCATGGGCATGGGGGTCCCACTCGTGCCTCTCCTCTTTGTTCGGAGGAGTAGCTCGGTCCGGGCTCATCGATTTATCCCTCTGGACCGACTGGGCGTCCTCGTCTATGCCCTGCTGCGAAGGTGCGCGGCTGGGCGCGACGGCGCGGGCGGCCAGCCTCTCCTCGGCAGCGCGCGATGGTGATGCTGAGCGCGGCCTCGTTGGGGCATTGGGACCTGGCCGCTGTTGTTGCGGGGCAGGTAACACTGTCACGGCTGCTTCTGCCACCGCTGCCGCATCTTGCCTGAGCCTTTCCTTTGTGCGCCGCCTCCGCCAGGATGATGTCCGTGTCCGAGTCCTGCGACCCAGGCAGGTGGCCTCCCTGAACAATCCTGCGGGCCGCCTCCTTCGCCGACGTGTAGGTGCCCATGCCGATCGCCCCGACTTCGGCGCACAGTTTGATAGCCCCCTTTATGCTGCTCCTCGCGGCCGGCGAATTGGAGCTCGAGCATGCGCATGGAGTGTCTCAGTTTATCCACTTCGCTTGCTTCATCTTGCCCTACTCGAGAGAGGTCTTCCATCTTCCTGTGCATGCTCGCCGCCATGTCTATGCTGCGCTGCGTGGGTTCGCCGATGTACCTCTCTCGTTCCTTCATTTGCTGTGAGGCTGCGTCTTCCAGCTCGGCAGCCTGCTCCAGGTCAACGAGGCGGAACTCCAGGGCACGCGCCAGCTCGCTCTCCGCCGCCCCCTCCCGCTGCTCAAAGTCCACCCGCTGTTCCCCCAACTGGGCCTGCAGGGCGAGTGCTTCCTGGCGCAGGCTGTCCGCGAGGATGTGGGCGTCGCGCGCCACTGCTTGTGCAGCTTGGGGGGACTCCACCGCCTGGCGCGACACCTGTCCTATCGATCTCTGCTCGGCAAGCAACATCGCCCTGCTCCTATCCTCTGCCTCCTCGGAAGCCTTCTGGGCCTTCTGCAGCGCGAACTCAAGGGCCTGGACTTCGGCTTTGGGCTGGCGCGTTGTTGACGCGGCTGCGCATGCTGCCTCTGCCCTAGTCGCGACATCTGCCTCTCGCCAGGCATGCTGCTTGAGCTCCACCTCGCTGGCCTCCAGAGCCTGCGCGCGTGCCGCCGCTCTCTCCATTGTCTTATGTTGGTGGGCGGCGGTCTCGACCAACCTCTGCAACTGCTGCTGTGCCTCGGGCGGGAGGCTGCCCTTGCCCTTGGCTGTGGCAAGATCCTGTGCTGTGGCTGCTCTGTGCTGGCGTTGCAGCTCTTCTCTTGCTTCCTGAAGCTCTGCGTCGTACCTGATCCTCATCGCCTGACAGGCCTGCTGGAATGCCACGTCATGCTGCTGGAGTTGCTGGCGAGCTTGCAACATAGCCTTGGCAGCCTCCTCCTTGGCGGCGTCCAATTCCCGTTGGGCTCCTTCTTGGCCTGGCCGTAGGCGGCCGTGCTGGCTTTGATGTCCAAGCGTAGCTAGGCCTGCTCACCATTGCGATGGAGCGCCAGCTGCCTTGCCACCGCCCGAACTTCTTCCAGCTCCTGGCGGTACCTCTCCTCAGCTGCCTCCAGCCTCCTTCTGGCCTCCTTCTCCGCGCTTGCCTGCTGCTGCCGTTCCTGCTGAAGCAGCTGCTGCTGCAGGAGCTGCTGTTGCTGCTGCTGCTGCTGCACCCTCTCGACGAAGCCCCCGCTGCCGGCTGAGCTCGCCCGAGACCTCGGAGCCTCTGGCGCGGGTGATCTTCCTGCTGGCCACGGTGTTGCTCCTCCTCTGTTGGCGGCCCTTTGCCGGCTGTCCACAATGATATTGTGGCACCTGTCCCAGTCCAAAGCAGAAGACGCTGACCCCGTGCCTTGGCGCTCGCTTTCCTCCTCCTCGTCGCCGAGCCTGCCCTCGTCGGCGAAGATGGCCTTCGTGTCGCGGAGGTTGGCCTCCACAAGCTTGAGGGCGTCCTGCATGGCATTCAGCTCGGTCGACGTATCCTCAATCTTGGACTTGGCGCTGGCGATCTTCTCCGGTAGGACGCTGCGCCTCTTCCTGAGCTCCTCGAGCTGGCCCTCGGGGTGCCTCGTGATCAGCTTCTGGTGCTTGATGAGCGCCCCCTCTTTCTCCGTCTCGGCGGTCTCGGGGCCCGCGCCACGAGCAGCCAGCGACAGGTTGCCCAGCTGCCTGAACCTCTGCTCCGTCCGCGCCAGGAGCTTGCGGATTCCTGGCGCGTCAAAATCGGGGGGGCTCCCATCTGGGGTGGGCCATCGCTTCCTCGAGGGAACACGCGACGATGGCGTCCAACAACTTCTGGACGATGCTCTGCTGTCCCCCCGCCTGGCTGCCCGCGTAGCCCGCGGAGTTGCCTGCTGCGCCTCTGCTGGCACCGCGCCGCCGTGGCCTGCCATCCGCCGCGGCTTCCGCCCAAGGCCTTGTCTTGGCCTCCTGGTGGGCGGGCTGGCCAGCGCGGCGAGACGGCGACGGTTCCTTGTGCCAGGGCGCGTCCTCTCCTGCAGACGCGGCGCTCCAGCGCTGATCTCGCGAGCTCGCGCCTTGCCAGCGCTCCTGGCGCCATGGTGGCACGGCTGCCGATGCTGCCTCATCCTGAGCCTGGCCGTTGCCGCTGCGGCCACCACCGCCTCTGCCCTTCCCATCGCGAGCCATCGTTGGTTGGGCAGAGTGGTGGGCGGCCAGATGCTCGGCCGCGGCCCGCAAGCGGAGCAGGAGCCTGTCCTGGCCTCTCTGCTGCCTCTCGCGGCGGTGGGCAGTTCCCTCTGGAACTCCTCCTCGACCTTGTCGCGGCGTCCCGCCGCTGGGGAGTGGGCCGCAGCGCGGCCGCAAGCGCCGCGGTCTGCGGCAGGGAGCAGGGAGGCACAGATAGCCCCCTGCCGTCCTCGCGGGCTGGCCGATGCGCGATGCGCCCTGCCACCGCGAACGATCGGGCGGCAGGCGTGACCGACCCCGATGGATCGATCGGGACCCGCGGGCCCGCCAGAGGCCAAGTGGCTTCCTCCTCCTCCTCCTCCTCCTCCTCCTCCTCCTCCTCCTCCTCCTCTCCTCCTCCTCCTCCTCCTCCTCCTCCTCCTCTCCTCCTCCTCCTCCCCCTCCTCCTCTCCTTCTTCCCCCTCCTCGCCCTCCTCCCTCTTCTCTTCCCCCCTCCCCCCACCTCCTCCTCCTCTTCACCCCTCCCCTTGCTCCCCCGCTCCTCCTCCCTCGCTGGCCCGCGCGTGGCAGGCCGCTGCCAGCCAGGCCAGCAACGCCGCGGCGTACGCCGCGTAGCAGAGCTGCTTGACCCGCTTCTGCGCGCCGCCGCGGGGCGGATATCGGATCGAACGGGACCGCGTTCTGCTCGGGGGGGCATCCAGGTCGGAGGCCCGAAGGTGGCACGGGAAGATTGGGTACGAGGCCCAACGACAACGGTTGCCTCAAGCCTACAGCGGCCGCTGCTGGGAAGGCGAGCTCTGTGTTCCGAATGAGCAACATCTGCGGCGACGCCGACGGTGAACCCTGTCCAAATGTACAAGACTGCTGTTGGCCTTACTGCCCGTCGTTTCCATACCCATTTCGGTCCTCGGTTCCCCCCGACCCATGGGGGGGGAGGCAAGCCCAGATCTCCGACGTTATGATATATTCAGTCCGGCTGGTCTTCCTCGATTTCAGCCCTGTGGGGTCATCAAGAAAGGAGCCACGACGAAAACCTTGCCGATGCGGAAGTGGGTCGGGACCTTTGTCGCCGCGGACTGAAGAAATCCCATTCGCGGCTGTCCGGGGGAGCGGGCCCTCCCAGCAGGCCCGAGGCGCTTCCTCTGCGCCCTCTCCAAGGCCACGTAGGGCCTCCAGGCCGGATGGCTTCTGAGAGGCCCCCGCCACCTCCTGCGAAGGCCTGCCCCCTATTCCTTTTCCCCCCCCTGGCGGGGGCCGCCCAACTGCGCGACCACGACGCCGTCGTCGCCACCGCTGCCAACGAGGAGATGCGACGTCTTGATCTGCTCCAGGCGCGATTCCCCGAGGTCCCGACCCTCTCCCCAGGGCCGGCTTCTCATCCCGAGTCGTCCTTTGACGGTCCTGGGGCCTGCGGTGGGCGCAAGTGGCTAAAAAGCCCCTCGTCTGGGAGCGCAACGACCGAGACGAGACTCAGCCAAGCTCCATCACCTTCGGACCGCTGGGCTCTGCCTTGTGAAAGGGAAGCGCCGATCTCGGCCAACTGGGGATCTGAGCTGTGAGCTGGCGGGCGCGACCGTGCGCTCCTCCCCCACGACGCGAGCACGTCCGGGCACGCCACCGCCGCCGTCGGGCGGCCGCGCGTCGGGCGGCCGCGGGGCGAAGGGCGGGGAGAGGGAGGACCGAGGCCGAGAGGGGAGAGGGTGGGGGGCAGCGGGAAGCGGCGCGGAGCAGCAGCGGGCCCCCTCCGCCCAGGCAGCCCGTGGCCCCGCTCGCCCCCATCGCCCCCCCCTTTTCCACCCGGAGGCGGAGGAGGCGAGGGCATCGGCGCATCGCGAGCTTGTCCGCAGCTTCGAGGCTGCGAGGCGGAGGAGGAGGAGAAGGAGGAGGAGGAGGAGCAGGAGGAGGAGGAGGAGGAGAGGAGGCCGAGGAGGAGGGATGGATGGATGGATGGATGGATGGATGGATGGATGGATGGATGGATGGATGGATGGATGGACCCAGCGATCCGAGGCTCCGAAAACATTGGAGGGGCTGGTTTTGAGCCGCTTTCGCCCTTGGGGAGCCCTCAGCGGGGCCCGGGGCAGTCAAAAACCGACTCGGGACGAAAACTGGCTCTGGGGAAGGTCTCCAAACCTACGGGAGGTCCACGCATCGAAACCATTGGAGCGCCTGAGAGCCTGAGACCCCAGTTGATGGACGCGCGACCAGGGGGCCGGCGCAAACTTCAACGCGCCCCTGCGCCAGATGCAGTGTTGGTTGGCATCGGGCATCGCCAACGGAACGCAGGATGTCGGCCAATCGGCAGATCGACACATCGCGAAGCCGCCCGCAACCATGCAGCTGGGGGCGCGGCGATCAAGATGGCAGGTGCTCGTCCATCAAGCGCCCCCCTCCCCCCCGACCCTACACCTCTCTGCCGCCCTCCCTTCTCCCGCTCTTCTTCGCCCGGCCCACACCGCCCCTCATGCCCCGCCCGCCGCCCCCTTCATCACCCACACTCCTCTCCAGTCGCCTCCTGCCCCACCCTCATCGTCCTCGCGACCCGCCCCAGGCCCCTTCCCTTGTCCCTCCCACAGTTATCCGACCCCCGCCACGCCCCCCCCACACCCCTGAGATCCGACGATGCGGAAAACGCAACCTCAGCGGGACATCACGACCGAATCCCTAGACCTTTTCCCTTTTCCTTCTGCGGAATCTTCCGAGCAAGATCAATATGTGATACGGCAGGGAAACCCGGTGTGAACAAATGGCGGCGCCTGGATCTCAAGGCTTCATGGAACAACACAATACCGAGACTGCTGCTTCCAAGACCTCTCCCGGGGTGCGTTCTGACTATCATTTCGGAGAGAATCCAGGCGTGGCGACGAGGGCCTCCCGAGAGGCCCAAAACGGCGAAAACTAGGGAGGCGTAGCGGTATCGGTTCCTGCACCGACTCGACCCCCCCCCCCCCCTATCTCCATCGCGGACCTCTCACGGGGTGCGCTCTGACCAGAATTTCGAGGCGAATCCAGCCGTGGCGACTGGTGCTCTCCAGGACGAGCACCAGCATCGGCATCTCTGCCTCCTCTGATCCCTGACTTCCCTCACAAAACCCTGCGCCGGCCTCTCCGAACCCGGAGAGCATGCCGGGCTGGCGCCCAGGCCTAGAGGAACAACCAATCCCATAATAACAAATGTTTCAGACGCCCGCGCGGATGTTTCGGATCGGCGCCGATGTTAGAAGTCAGCGCGGAGCTCCGAGAGATCATGCTAATGGATTTGACTATTATTCGAATGTCGACGCCTGTGAATGTTTGCAGCTGCAGGTACATGCATACGCTGTTGCCCCTGGCGGCCTTCGTGCAATAATGTGAACGTTTTCTCGTTCGGCGTTTCGACATTGGACGAAAGGGGGGAGGGGGGGTGCCTGGCTCTGTTTGAAACAGTGCCTTACGGGGAAATCTTATGGGGCAATCCTGTGGGGGAATCTCGTGGGGGGGATCCCGTTACGAATGGGGGGAACTTCGGGGGGGTCTTATGGGGGAATCTGAATCCCCTTATAATCAAATCGAATTAGAGCCTTCAGGATTTGCAATTCCAGAGGATCTTACAACAATTGGCTATCCCCGAGGGTATGTTTCTTGACAACGCATCTGGCGCACTGAAGCCTCCTCTTTCCCCAGGACCGCCCCGAAAACACAGTGCACAGTTGCGCGAAAAAGCCCTGGGGGGGGGGGGCGGGGCTCCCGAGGGTACTCCACCTGCTAAAAACAGGCGCCCAGAACAGCCAAGATCTACTCCATGGGGAGGGGGGGAGGAGCTGCGAGGGCCCGGCGCCGATCGGCAAAACAATTAATCAAAAAACGATCACAATGCGGACCTCAATAACTTTGCTTCCCAATCAATGGTTGCACTGAAGGGGTCCTAACGGAAATTGAAAAATTTGGCGACAATTTCCGCCGATTTTGGTGGCCGGCTGGGTTCCCGGTTTCCCAGTTCCGGGTTCCCGGGTTCCTGGTGATTGGTTCTGGGCCGATCTCGGTGGGTTCCCGGTCGATCCCGTTCTCGATCTCTTTATCGGCCCCACGATGCATCATCGATCCCATGATCGATCTCACTAGTCATCTCGCTGAGTCGATCTCACCACTGACTGGGTTTCCTTTCCTCCGGGTTTCTCGGGTCGGGCGAAAGGGGGGGATAGCAAAGGGGGGGTTTGAGAATCAGCTCACGTAGCTGATTTTCCCGGCGCCTCCCGGCGCCGGAGGCGGCTATGTATCGAGGAATGGGCCCCTCGGTGGGCCGAAACCAGCTGCATGCAGCAAATTTCGTAACCCCCCCTTTCCCAATCCCCCCCTTCCCCCCGGCCCGAGTTTCCTTTCCTCCGGTGCAGTAGGCTTATGGCGTTCGTTGTTCCCCGAAGGCCGCAGCACAGCGGGCGGCGGGTGCGGCGTGCAGCGCGCGGCATGCGGGGCCCGGCGCCGTGGCGGCGCGCGGCCACGGCGGGGCCGGGCCTGCGAGGCCGAAAGGCCTGCGCCCGGAGCCGCATGAAAACGGCGGAGCAGCGGTGCATCGTCGTCGTGTTCGTCGCCGTCGTCCTCCTCCTCCTCCTCCTCCTCCTCCTCTTCCTCCTCCTCCTCGTCCTCGTCTTCCTCCTCCTCCTCCTCCTCCCTCCTCCTCCTCCTCCTCCTCCTCCTCCTCCTCCTCTGCCTCCTCCTCCTCCTCCTTCTCGTCGTCCTCCTCCTCCTCCTCCTCCTCCTCCTCTTTCTCGTCGTCGTCGTCGTCGCACCGCCGAGACCGCGCCTCGAGCAGTGCCAGGAGCGGGGGTCCAGCGTCGATAAAAAAAAACAGCGCGAACCTCCGACTGTGTCTGTTTATCAACGTATTCTTCCTCCCATGGACATGGGGGGGATTGGCACAGGGTGGTGGGCAGCCATCGACCCCAATCGCCCATTCGTCGCTGATGGGGGCCTGATAGCCCGCCCCGTCCAGGAGAGTCGGGTTTGGCTATCGTACCGCCGACTCGAGCTCAATGATTCCCCCCCCCCTGAGCTGGTCCCCCCTGTCGTCCCCGCCCCAACTGCCAGCATTATCAATGAAAAGGGCGATTAAGTTCGAATGTGAGGCAACGCGGACGCTGTGGATTGGTCAATATGGTGGTCGTCACACGAATGCGCCCAGAGCATTTGTGCAGATGCTTGGCGAGCCCGTGCGCGTGTGGTTGGTGGGTAAGGATAACGGCAGGTGTTCAGCGTCAATGGCACTTGGGATATATGACAACGCAAAATTGACGATGTAGCGGATGCGTGCTGTCGGCAGTGACACTGACCATGACAGATGTGGCATTAGTGTCTGCGACGCCGTCTTCAATCGTTGCCACGCTGGTAAAGTAATAGCCTAACAGAACCAGTCACGAACATCGGGACGAGGAGCCAGACCAGAAGACGACGACACAAGAAAAATGACGGTGATGCCTGGACATCCGATTTTCCAATCCGCGGGCCGAAAAGTCCCGACCGCTTCCCCGGGGGCAGTTGCTCGTCCTGGATCCGTTCCCGACGGCCCCGAAGCCCGAACACGGCCCTCAAGGCCGAAAGCGACGCAAAGCGCCAGGCTTGAAACCCAGATCGTCGGAGATCCTGGTGCGCCTGGGCTGCACTGCTCAAGGCGCGGTATCGGCGGTGCGCCGACAACGACAACAAGGAGAAAGAGGAGGCAGAGGAGGAGGATGAGGAGGATGAGGAGGACGAGGAGGAGGAGGAGGAGGAGGAGGAGGAGGAGGAGGAGGAGGAGGAACAGGAGGAAGAGGAGGAAGAGGAGGAGGAGAAAGAGGAGCAGGAGGAAGGAAGCGGGAGTGACGCCAACGCGGTACGGTGCATACAAGTCGCCCTCGAAATACGACCGGGGGGCTCAACCAAAGCGCTGTCGTGCCGCTTCCCCACCAATAGCGCGTCGGCGAGCAACCCGTCGCGGACTCGGCCGAAACCCGCAGGTCGCCTGCCCGAAGGCCTTGCACAGGGCCAAAAAAACTAGTCCTCATCCCTCTTCGCGCCCTTTCCTGTTCGCTGGCGCCGTCGCCCGTGCTCGGCTCTTTCGGGACTGCCATGCGCAACTGTCATTATTACATCGGCGCTCCGAAATTTTATTCCGATTTGAGAAGCACGGCGCCGCGCGAATGCAGCGCAAACGCTATGCTGGAAGGGCGTGGCAATTCATGCCCCCTGGACAGGCGAAAGCAGCCGCGCCCCCGTGCGAACCCCGATCCCGCGCGGGGCGCGCCCCCGTTGACAATGGCTCCCCCGGGAAACCGTTCCTTGTGCAGGAAGTCCTGAACGGTCTGCCCATCGGCTGCTCCTTCGGACGAGGCCGGAACCACCGAGAAACACTTGTTGATAGGAAGTTCTAAGCGGTTTGCCCATGCTCGGTTTCTTCGGAGTGGGCCTGAAGACCTCGAGAATTTGTTTCCAAGGAGTCTTAGGCGGTTTGCACGTTCTCGGGCCGTTCGAATCGGACCCGATTTTTTTTCCAGCACGCGTCCCATGGCGTTTCGCCGCTTTCAGGTCGGCCGGTAAACTTGTCGGGTCGTCGGGGTCGTCGTATGACCGAACCCGAAAGCTGCGTTCGAGGAGGTCCTATGCTGTTTGCCCATTTTCGGGTCAGCGCACCGTTTGGGATTTTATAGTTTCAAGTGGCGAGGGGACCCCGATCCCGCGACCCCAGGCGGGGGTTAGGCTCTGCCCTTGCATTATACTGGGCCCCTCCGGCCAAACGGGGTGCTGGGCTGCCCATCGGCGCGCCGGCTCTGCCCTCTCGACATCGCCCTCGTCCGCCCTCGGGCCCCGCGGGTCTTATCCTGCGCGCGCCACCCAAGATGGCCGCGGCGAGCGCGGTGGCGAATTTGGGGAAACTTTCGGATCGGCGCAGTATAGTTCGCTCATAGGAAGCCCAGCGGCGTGGGGTCGTACGCGCGTCCAGACGAGACCTCGCGGTTCCCTGCGGGGGCTGCTAACTGCGCAACCGTCCCCACTTTCGTCGGCTTCTGATTAAAAAACTGAAGCGGGATTGAACGCAAACCCAGACGAGACCTCGCGGCTCCCAGTGTCCCGCCTCCCTCTCGCTCCTCTCCTCTCCGTCCTCCCTGTTCCCTCCTCCCTCCTCCCTCCTGCCTCCTCCATGTTTCCTCCTGCCTCGTCCCTTTTCCCCCCTCCTCCTCCTCCTCCTTCTCCCTACTCCCTCCTTCCCCTCCTCCTCATTCTCTTCATCCTCCCCCTCCTCCTCCTCTTCCTACTCCTCCTGCTCCTTGTCCTCCCTTCTCCCTCCCATCTGTTCCATGTTCCCTGCTCCCTCCTTCCCCTCCTTCTGCCCCACCTTCTCCTCCTCCTCCCTCTCCGCCTCCTCCCGCTCCTCCTCCTCCTCCTCCTCCTCCTCCTCCTCCTCCTCCTCCTCCTCCTCCTCCTGCTCCTGCTCCTCCTGCTCCTCCTCCTCCTCCTCCTCCTCCTCTCCTCCTCCTCCTCCTCCTCCCCTCCGCCTCCTCCCCCTGTGCCCTCCTCCCTTCTCCTCCTCATCATCATCATCCTCCTGCTTCTCCTCATGCTCCGCCTCCTCCTCCCTCCTCCTCCTCCTCCTCCTCCTCCTCCTCCTCCTCCTCCTCCTCCTCCTCCTCCTCGCTCCTCCCTCGCCCCTCCTCCCTCCTCTTCCTTCCTCCTCGCTCGTCACCTCCCTCCTTCTCGTACTGCAGTTCCGAAGGGACTTGCGCTGCGGGATCACTGCGTCCAACGAGCGGGCTGTCGCCAAGCTGTCTGCAGAGGCCATCTTGCGACAGTCCAATAAGTTCTCCAAAACACAGCGAGAGACCGAAAGAGCGGGCCCTGGACTCCAGGGGGCTGGGGACGGGGGCGGTCTTCCCATACAACGTGCGCCTTTTTTGTTCCGATGAGCCATGACGAAGGTGCGAAAGCCAAGAGCGCAAACACAACACATACACTCCTACAGCGTAATCGATGTCGAGGAGAACGGTTGGATGACAACTTCCACCAGCAATGGAACGATACTGCGCAGATCGTGCGACCTGCAACGTAAAGAGGTCAGCATGACTCTTTTTGTCGACGCCGCACGCACTCTGAAGAGTGCCCAAGCTGGTTTGCCAAATCCTCAAGGGCAATCGGCCCAACAAGCGTTGTGCACTTCGCAAGTGCGAACGCATCCCGAGGAAAACTACACGTGTATGTGAAGCAAGCGAACTCATTCTATTCACTCTGCCACCGTTCCGTAGGCATGATTGGGCGTGTCATAGCGTACCTGTGCTGCCTGGTGAGGTTATTGTAGGATGTCTAGGAACCGACACATCCCTCGACGTAGTCATGCTCAACATCAGTCGCCCCCTGTGATGTTACTCGCCGTCGCCCTTCTCGGTCTCTAGGCGACTCCCAGAGAGCCTAAGACTTTCCAAAAACGGTAGCAATACGCCCTGAGGCCGTCCAACGACGGCCAATCGAGGTCCCAAAGCTACAAGATCTCCCCGAGAGGCCCCGCGCAGCATCCAAGCTACGCCCCAACGAGGCCTCCCGCGAAGCCCTCAGAGTCGACACAGGTTGAACATTATCCTGGCGAATGACCCAACCATACGCAGTTGTGAGTACTGCAATTGAGAACATATCTTCTTCGGTGGAGCTCCCGATGGGGCCACGAAGCGCTGCACTGGGTGGGGGGGAACGCATGCGGGCGGTAGCACTGGGGCCGTCGGTGGAGCTCCCTTGGGGCCACGAAGCGCTGTACTGGGTGGGGGGGACGCATGCGGGCGGTAGCACTGGGACCTTCGGTGGAGCTCCCTATGAGGCCACGAAGCGCTGTACTGGGTGGGGGGAATGCATGCATGCGGGCGGTAGCACTGGGGCCGTCGGTGGAGCTCCCTATGAGGCCACGAAGCGCTGCACTAGGTTGGGGGGACGCATGCGGGCGGGCTGTAGAACTGGGACCTTCGGTGGAGCTCCCTATGGGGCCACGAAGCGCTGTACTGGGTGGGGGGGGGCGCATACGGGCGGTAGCACATGGACCTTCGGTGGAGCTCCCGATGGGGCCACGAAGCGCTGTACTGAGTGGGTGGACGCTTGCGAGCGGTAGCACTGGGGCTTTCGATGGAGCTCCCTATGGGGCCACGAAACGCTGTACTGGGTGGGGGGGACGCATGCGGGCGGTACATCTGGGACCTTTGGTGGAGACCCCTAGGGGGCCTCGAAGCGTGTGAGGTGTGTGCTGGAACGGGTGATGACGATTATGATGGGAAGAGGGAGGAGGGGCAGGAGGAATGAAAGAAGGAGAGGAACGCGGGGCACTGTCCCTTCAAAACGAGGACCCAACACCACAATATTGTTAAGCTTTAAAAAACACACATGGTTTGCTTCCGAGACGTTTCGGCGTCAGATCGCCTCGGATCGTCTCGGAAGTTTTCAGAGAGCACCCAGACACACCGAGACTGCCCAAGACGACCTCAAGAGTACCAAATACAGCCCAAATATAATACTTTGCGGATTCTGGGCGCCCTAAAACAACTAAAACCCGCACCAAAACGTCTCAACACTCTGCGTGACTACCCAACTGCCGCCCAACGGGACCCAACACTTTCAACAACCTCTTAATTTGCCCCAATAGTTATGCCCTGATAAGTCCCAGGGGCCCTCATTGGTAAAGCACGTTGGAAGCACATGAGATCCTTCTCCTTTGGTTTGGAAGCTTTCCGGAACCCGATCGTCTCGGAAGGCTTCAAGAAGCGCCCAGTTGCACCCGAGACGGCCCAAGACGGCCCCAATATTGGGGAGAACACGTTTGAAGCATCTTGCGTATGACAGCCCCGAGACACCCGACGGACACACAATAGGCACCCGAGAGGGTCCAAGAGGCCCTCAAGAGGCCCCAGGGAGTCCCCAAGAAGCCGCCAATACGCCCTCGAAAAGGAAAACGAGGACGAACGAGGAAAGAAGAAGAAGAAGAAGAGGCTGCGGACAAGGAGTGGGCATTCTAGACCCGCGCCAGTCCAAGCAAGGCACTGAAGCGGGGCCGGTCTCAATTTCGACATCCTTTTATTCGGCGCTGCTGCGCTGGCACGGTGGCAGGAGTTGCCGCAGGCAGCTGGATATCAAAGGCAGAAGGTTCTATTCAAAGTGGCGCCGCACACAGCGGCACTGCGAACAACAACCTCCTCATGAAAACAACTTACATTCGCGCGAAGCCACCGAATGGGTGCTATGCCAAGAACAATACTAGGATTTGAAACCACACACAGAAGGAACTCATTCTGCGTTCCCATCTACCAGAACCTTATGAAACTAGGGGCTAGTCTGGCGAAGGAGCCGACACTGTTCAGACGCGTGTCGCGCAGGGCGTGGCCATGCTTGACTAGATTGCTCGCCGCTGGACAATGTTGATGGGATTGCGGGGCATGTGCGCAAAAGCATGCTGAACACCACGAACCGCGTGAGAGTGTGACGAAATGAACGCGGGCACGCATCGGCCGGTCCCACTGAGACCGTCTGTGGGGTCTCCCCTTGCGCCAAGAAAGATGTGTGGTGTGCCGAAATGGTTGTGGGCGCGCATGCAAGCTTTGCCATTGAGGCCTGATGTGAAGCTCTCTAAGGCCACGACGCGTTTGAGGGGTGTGCGGAAATGATCGTGGGCCCGACCTTAGTACGGTCATGCTGGCTTGCAGTGACGTTCGATGTCTGGCATCCGTGTAGGAGGCGTGCATCACCGCAAAATGACAAGAACAACTGCACCTCGCACTGCAGATAAGAGAGATGAGGCGCCCAGGCGGCGGCTTTGCTGGGGCCGCGGGCTCCAGCGCCAGTGTAAAGGAGCCCGCCTCAAGCGTAGCCTTTTTCGAAACAGTAGTCTGCCACACCCGCTGATGTCCCCAAAAGAGTGTGTGGCGAGTCGACGGCGTGGCACTAGGATCAAACGTCAGTGCAAAGAAGCCCGCCACGGCATAGTCGCAAGAGTGAATCTTTTGTGCGGGTCTCGGGTTGGATCGTGGAATGGGTCCCACGGGAACCGCGGAGCGGGTCGACGGAAGTCCCACGGGGACCGCAGAGTGGGTCGACGGTTGATCGCGGGCGGGTCGCGGGGTGGGCTGCGGAGTGGGCGGCGGACCGCGTCGCGGGCGGGTCGCGCGAATGCGGCTCTTGAATGCAAGTCGCGGGGCGGGACGCGGAGGTGTCAAGGCTGGGGATCGAGGTGTGAGTCGCGGGGTGGGTCACGGGTGTGGGCCGCGGAGCAGGTCGCGGGTGCGTCGCGATGTGGGCCACAACGACAGTAAGGGAACGAGCAAAACGATAAGCCACAACGCGAACCGCACTGCATCCACACAACCAGGGAAAGTGCGACTCGTTCGGCCCCCTCGCCCTGGCACCCTACAGAACCCGCGTGCGTATTCATGCGCGTTCTCACGTTTGCGCTCATTTGCAAGAATAGGCGCGGGTCTGCCTCACTCAATCAGACACTGCTCAATGCTACTCATAAGCTCTCAGGACGCTGGTCGGAGCGATCGCCTCAGCCTGCCCTGTGTCGTCCAGTCTCTCTCTCTCTGCCTCTCTCGCTCTCTCGCTCTCTCTCTCTCTCTTATCTGTCGGCTGTCTGTCAGTCTGTCTGTTTGTTTGTCTGTCTGTCTGTCTGTCTGCCTGCCTGCCTGCCTGCCTGTCTGCCTGTCTGTCTGTCTGTCTGTCTGTCCGTAGTCTCTCTCTCTCTCTCTCTGGCCTCTCTCCCTCTCACACACTTGCCCTAACGTCCTCCGCCCTCAAGTGCCACCTACATGCCGTGCAATGCGTCTAAGGCTAGCCAACCCGACTCACCAGCAGACGTCGAAGCCCAACACCATCCTTAAGCGAGGCTGCCAACAACGTAGCCGCGGAGGCAAGGCGAGGTTACGAAGAACATGATGCCTCCTCCTCATCATCCTCGTCGTCCTCCTCCCGCCTCGTCCGACGGTGAGCCGGGGGGCGGGACGAGGCAAGACAGGGGAGAGGAAGGACAGCCTGGAAGAGCAGTAGAGGAGAAGGAGGGGGAAGAGGAGGAGGATGAGGATGAGGATGAGGATGAGGATGATGATGATGATGATGATGAGGAGGAGGAGGAGGAGGAGGAGGAGGAGAAGGAGGAGGAGGAGAAGGTGGAGGAGGAGAGGTGGAGGAGGACCGGCAGGAAGAGGCGAGGAAATCGGCGGGAAATGGAGGCCAACCTTTCCTCTCAGTGCGCCCGAGCCAGCGACGGCTCGGGCTTGAAGAGCCCGCCCGAATCCCCGTGCGCGGGCGAGAGTCTGCCCCAGCTCGGCCCCAACCCACCATAAGACATCCGATCCCGCCCCCCCCGCAACCACCCCCGCCCGCATTCGCTCGCATCCGAGAAAGAGGAAGGGAGAGTTGAAGCAAGTGCGGAATCCTCCTGGGGGCCCATTTTCGCCCGCGCTTCGACTCTGCCGCGCCTCTGGGGCCAAACCCACACGCTCCCTCTTCCTCCTCTTCCTTATCCCACGTGCGCCCCCCTGAACTTGAACTTCCTCCCTCCTCCTCCACTTCCCCCTCTCCCCCCCCCATCCCCACTCCTTCCACCTCCCTCCTCCCTCCCGACCTCCTCCTCCTCCCTGCTCCTCAGCTGGCCGAAGCGCCGCGGCGCGAGCGGCCGCTCCGCTCCGGGGAGGCCCCGCGGCGGGCGGCCTCTCACGTCCGAGCAGCTGCAGCTCTGGCGTGCGGACCACATGCCAGACCACCCCCGCCTGAGCCAAAGACCCCAACCTAACCCACGGAATCGATTTCCCTCAACATCGATTCCCCGTTGAATCGACGAAGCATGCATGCAATGCTCCGTAGATCTACTGACGATTCTACGTATCTTCCTCGTGGGTTCAACGAAAAAAAGAATTCGGGGGAGAGCAATGCTGTGGTCGATCCCCTGGTCGAGGGTTCGGGGGGTGTACGGGCACCGTACATATGTTGTATCAATGTTCCCCGACGCCCCTCCCCACCAGGAATGGAGGGCAAATCGAGGCCCTCGGGTTGGGTTGGGGTGGCTCGGTGCGTGGTGACGTGCAGCCGCACTCCGGGGCCGAGCGGTGCCGCAGGGCGCCCCTGGTTGGGAGGCAGCTCTCGGGAGGTCTTCTCAAGACCGGGTGAGGCTGAGGGCTCCTGGCCCAAGTGGAGCCAGAGATCGAGCCATCCATCCAGCCAGACGGAGCGGAAGTAGGTGGGACTCGAGCGGAGGAGGCTGGTGCTCGACCGCGGAGATACCAGCGCCGATGCTGAAGTGAACCTCCAAGGAATAGTCTCCTTCCTAACCCTAGAGGGGCAAACGCAGCCACGATGATGATGACTCGAGCGGACTCGAGCGGATGAGGCTGGTGCTCGACCGCGGAGATACCAGCGCCGATGCTGAAGTGAACCTCCAAGGAACAGTCTCCTTCCTGACACTGGAGGGGCAAAAGGCAGCCACGAGCGGCGGGACACCGACGGGGGGGCCGTGGCGGGCGGCCTCAGGCTCCAGCGCTTCGAGAACACCCGCGCGCCGAAGACGAGGCTGGAGGAGGAGGAGGAGGAGGAGGAGGAGGAGGAGGAGGAAGAGGACCAGTGCAAACCCAAGAGTCATCCACGATGCTGGAATGAGCAATCCCTCCAAGCTCCATCTTCGTCGGCCCCTACTTCTGTTCATTCCCACTGAGGGAGCTGCCTCGTTGGAAGACAACCGTTCGAAGACCTTGACGCATGCCAAAACATTGTTCTTTGGATTTCCACGCCACGGATCAACCTGACTGTTGCGTCCTGACGATCTGGAATCGTGCCAGAACGCTATTCTGGTACTTCAACGCCACGAATCACCATAACTGCTGCATCCGCATAATCCTGGATCCGTCCAACAAATCTGGTACGCTGATCGTGGGAATCCTTGAGAATCGTGCAATTGATTAAATGTGCGCGGCGCTAAAACGAGAACCACATTTTGAAAAGGAGCCGCCCTCAATACGTGAAATTATTGCAAGTCTTAAAACAAATGTGCGCGGCGCTGAGGCGAGAGCCACATTTTGAAAACCACCCGCCCGCAACCAGTGAAACTCAAACGAATGTGCGCGGCACTAAGGTGAGAGCCACATGTTGAAAACGAAACGCCCTCAATCCGTGAAACGCTTGCAAATTTGATAAACGCATGTGCGCGACGCTAAGGCGAGAATTACATGTTAAATACCACCAGCCGTCAATCCGTGAAACTCTTGCACACTTAAAAAAAGAATGTGCGCGGCGTTAAGGCGAAGCCACAATATGAAAACCACCCGCCCTCAATCCGCGACACTCTCATCATTATTTTAATGAATGAGCGCAGCGCTACGGCGAGAGCCACATTTTGAAAAGCACCCACCCTCCATCTGTGGAGCTGTTGCCATTTTGAAACTCCCGAATCATAATGGTAAGAAGGTCTCAGGCGAAACGCCCGGCCCGCCCTAAAAACTGGCCTCGGGGTGCGACATGGAGAAACTACTAAAAAGGAAAAGGAATGGAGGAGGAGGAGGAGGAGGAGGAGGAGGAGGAGGAGGAGGAGGGAGGAGGGAGGAGGGAGGAGAGGGGCGAGATGCTGCAGTCGCCCATGACGGAGTCGCACACAGGCGCACGACTAGGCGCTGACAATGAAGCTGTCCTGGAAGCCAGGGAGCGGCACGGCCGAGCTCGACGTCACCGCACTGCAGGTCGCGGCGCCAAACTCGCACTCTGCCAACCAGTCGCGACACGGCACGGCGCGGCGCGGCATAATAGCGCGGATGTGTCGTTTGGATCCTGCGTACCAGATACGTGAAGATATAGGCTTCTCTTCCTGCCAGAGACGAGACCCTTCCAAAGCAAACCTGGCCGATGCGACGAGGACAGAGCAACGGTGCTGGCCCCCCGTCCACCTCTGACCCTCACTCCATCCGTCCGTCCTCCCACCCCTTCCAAGGCAGCGGCGCCCCGGTCGCCTGGTTTTTGGGTCTGGCGGCAGTTCGGAACGCTTCGGGACGTTTCGGATCCGGCGGCTGTTATGGACGACTGGGGACGATCTGGGCACACCAAGAACGCCCTCGGTGAAGCGCAGCTGCTGGAACTCACCCCGACGTTGGAAAAGGCCGAGCACTGGCGAAAATCTGGCAGTCGATAGACTCCAAGGCCGCGCTTCGCCTCCTCCTTCCGCCCGTCCCTGATGGAAACCCCGGTTTTCGAGTCAAAACTCTGGGCTCCGGCGGCCGCTCGGGACGATTGCCGCCCCCCCTGGAAAGCCATCGGCACGGCGCCGCCGCTGGAACGCACCCAGACTGTAGAAACTTTCCAGTGACATACAAAATCGTTCGAACACCTCGAGCTCCGAACCTCGAGCCTGTCCCCCCTACGTTGCCCCTGACTCCTCCCCTCCTCCCGCAGCAGCGGTGCCGAGGTCCCTCGATTGTGCACCCGATGAACTCTCGTCCTGTTCGTCCTCCTCCTTCTCCTCCTGCTCCTTCTCCTCCTCCTCCTCCTCCTCCTCCTCCTCCTCCATTCCTGATGAAAAACTCCTCCCTGCCGCGCCCTGAGGCTGGTCGAAAGGGCTGGCTGGGCGTTGTGCCTGACACGTCCTCACCCTTTCTGATCCTGAAACATGTTCAAGAGTTTCACGGATGGAGGGCGGTCCGCTTTCACGATGTGTCTCTCGCACTGGCGCCGCGCACTCTCGTTTTCAGACTTTGCATGGGTTTCACGTTTTCTTATGACCAGCGTCTCAAACATGCTGTTTTTAGCACGGTGTCGGACTGTCAGGGAGCAGCAGTGCCATGGTGTTCCGGCACGATGCAGAATCGTCAGCACGCAACAGTAATGGCAATTCGCGGCGTTGAAGTCCCAGGAGTGGCGTTCTGGCGCAATCCTGGATTTTCAAACGCTTATCGTCCAACGGGACTTTTCCTTAGTAATTATGAGCCCGTGGAAGAAAAAACAAGGAACAGAGAGCTTGGAGGGAGGGTGTATTGCAATATCATTGGTGACGTCTTGGGTTTACATTGGTCCTCCTCCTCCTCCGTCCTCCTCCTCCTCCATTCCTCTTCCATACATATAACTCCTCCCCGTCGCCCCCAGAAGCCTGTCGGAAAGGCGTGCCGGCCGCTTCGCAAGGGACCCCCTCACCATTTACGACCTTGGAGCTTAGAAACCAGCAGCAGCTTTAGAGACGCAGGGCGGGTCGCTTCTGAAATGTGTCTCTCGCCTTAGCGCAGCGCGCTGTCGTGATAAAGTGCGTAAGAATTTAACAGACTGAGGGCGGGTAATTTTGAAAATATGTGAACCGCTTTAGCGCCACCGGTTTTTCATCATGAGGACGTTCCTGCGACAACCCTTTCGTGGATGCACATGCGGACGGCTAGTGTCCCATGTGTGCCCATCGCTCTGCCACACCAACGCGTCATTGCACTCAGAATCATGATGTCCTTGCTACGACGACACACGCAAACCGTGCAATCGATGGGTCAGAGTCTGGGGCGCAGAAGTCGCCAGACCTCTTGCTCTGGGCAGAGGCCAAGGGGGTCGCGCGCTTGGTAGGGGAAAACACCGCTTGTAGTTCAGGCGAGGTGCTGCTCGAACCACGAAACGCAATATTTTCTCGCTGCGGGTCTACTGGATTCCCGTCGAAGGGGCTTACACAATCCTTGGGATCGGTGCTGAAGAAAGACTCCATGGTGTATACTATCGGCAGCCGAGTGTGTCATGAGATCGGGCGTGCCTCACCAGCGCATCATAGCACCCACCAGCATGACGATGGTCCTGCGATGATGCACGAGCGAATACACATGCGGAAACCAGCCTGATATGACACCTGTGTGCCACACCAGCGCGGCATGACACTCATCATTCTGATGTTAGGGGTGACAAGACTGGTCCTTGGACAAGACATGACTGGTTTCAGGACGTTCTTCATCAATACGATGTCTTGTTTCGACCACACAAGCAAAACATGACATGGAAACGTCTGGGGCGCATAAGTCGGCAACGTCCGTTGATACGTTTTCCTGTGGGCAAACGCCAATCCGGTTTCGAACGCGTGTGCCCGGAAACCCCCTCCTCCTTCTCCTCCTCCTCCTCCTCCTCTCCTCCTCCTCCTCCTCCTCCTCCTCTCCTCCCCCTACCCCTCCCCTTCCGCCTCCTCCTCCCCCCCCCCCCTCCGCCCCCTCCCCCCCTACCCCTCCCTTCCGCCTCCTCCTCCTCCTCCTCCTCCTCTTCTTCCTCCTCCTCCTCCTCCCCTCCTCCTCCTCCTCCCCCACCTCCTCCTCCTCCCCCCCTCCTCGCCGTCCTCCCCCCCCCCCCCCCCTGCGCCTCCCTCCTCCCTCAGCAGCGGCGCCCAGGTCCCTCATCCGCGCCCTCGCCGACGAGCAGCACCTCGACCCCCGCGCCTTCGGGCCTCGGCCGTGCGCCGCCCGCTCTGGTCAGAGCGGACTGGCGGCAGGCCCCAGGCGGCGGGAGCGGCCCGAGCGGGCTGCGGATCTGGCCGGCAGCGGCCGCCGAGGAGAGGCAGCGAGCGGCGCCGTGTCGGTCTTCGGACGCTTGTCGTCGGTTCTCGGCGGGCTTCAAGCCGCGGGTGCTCAGGCGTTCTAGGGGTGCCTGGATCGTCCGGAATGGCCGCCAGAGAGCCGAGATACAACCCGAAACCCAAAAGGGGGGAGGGCCTCCCTAGAAATTCTGGGGCCACCTTGGCCCAGGGGCAGTCACAAGCGGCGGATATGCCCGCATGGGGGCCCTCGCGGTCTGGACTCTGAAGCGCGATCCCGCAGATGCGCGCGGGGCATCCGCGACAAAAGCGCACCGTATCCGAGGGGTTCCAGCCCGCGAGGCCGCGGACACAGATAGGTTTTGCGCCCAAGAGAGCAGAGGGGCCAGTCGGACATACCTGCCATCGCTCGGACGTCCATTCTCGCGTGCATTGATTTGTTTCGTGCGGGCCCTGTGTCTTTTTTTTCCGAAGGCGCCTCCTCCTCCTCCCCTTGCATGGTGGCGCAACTCGCGTATCGTCTGCCACATTATTCCTTTTCCGCCAGCGCAGTCACTCTGCCTAGCCGCCGACACAAAAAAGTGCGTTTTTCGAAGTGGTCCATGATGATACAAGATGGTCCAGATGTCCGGGCGGCATACCGAGCATCTTGAAGTCGTGGGGCCGATTGGGATGGCATAGGTACCAACAGGTAAACGCCTACACATGTAAGAGTAAAGGGACCGAGCGATCAATCACTGTCCTTGGGTGCGTGACTGAAATGCGACCCCGCGGCGCGGATTCTGTTTATTGTTGTTGTTGTTGCGTTGCGCTGTTGTTATCGTCGTGCCCGGCGCGACCCGGCCCGCGACCCGGCCCGCGACCCACCCGCGAATCGACTCGCGATCCACCTGCGACCCACCCGCGACCCACTCGCGATCCACCCGCGACCCACCCGCGACCTCTTCTAACGAAAAAATATATGCGCCTACGGCGGGGTCGTTGTACATTGTGAGAAACAAATGAATATTTGGCGCCTGCGGCGGGCTTCTCCAGAGCCTCGCAGACTGCCGACGTCCCCGCCGCCCCGTCACTCTTATCCGCACCTGCGGGGGGCCCGACCCATCCGCGACCCGCCCGCGATCCACCCGCGACCCACCCACGGATTAACTCAGAAAATCGGCGCCTGCGGCGGGGCCGTTGTACAATGTGAAAAGCGCCTACGACGGGCTTCTTCAGAACATCGCAGACTGCCGACGTCCCCGCCGCCCCCTCACTCTTCATCCGCAGGTGCGGGGGACTACGTATATGTGTGTATGCATGTGCGTACACAAATAAAAACGTCGCACCCCGCAGTTGCAGATAAGAGTAAAGGGGCGGCGGGAACATCGGCAGTCTGCGTGGTTCTGTAAAAGCCTGCCGCGGCCGCCAAATGTGTCAAATTGTACAAAGAGCCCGCCGCAGGCGCAAATTCTTAAGATTAAAATCATGTGGGTGCGTCGCAAGCGGGTCGCGGGTGGGTCGCGGGAAGGTCGCGGGTGGGTCGCGGGCGGGTCGCGTGCGGGTCGCGGGGTGGATCGCGGGTGGGTCGCGAGTGGGTCGCGGGTGGGTCGCGAGTGGGATCGCCGATGGGTCGCGGGCTGGTCGCGGGTGGGTCGCGGGATGGGTCGCGGGTGGATCGCGGATGGGTCGCGGGCGGGTCGCGGCGGGGACGACGACAATAACGCAACGCAACATCAACACCAACACCAGCAACACCAGCAACACCACCAACAACAACAGTAGCATCAACAACAACAGCAACCAACAACAACAACACCAACAACAACGATAAACAACACCAGCACCGACAACACCAAAAACAACAATAACAGCAACAACCACAGACCCAACAACAACTGCGCCACCAACAGCAACAACACCAACCACATCAGCAACAACACCACCAATCATGGTAAGACTGTTTGCTCTTTTCTGCTCAAATGACATTCAACACGTATACCACAAACCGTCGATGCCAGCCCTCTTCGTCTTCGATCGTACCCCCTTAGGGGTATGTGAGTTTTACCTGCACGTGTCTTTCGTGCAGCCCCTAAGGCAAGGAAAGAGAGGACGCATGGAATGAAGGGACAAGGGGCAGGCGGGTTGCTGAGGCGTGCGTACTGCATGCGTTGCGAGGCAGTCTCGAGCGATTCTGCTCTGCGATTCCCAAATCAATCGTGGGGGGAATCCCCAACGTGAGCGTGATTCCTGAGTGTCGAAAGGACGGCGTCTGAATAAATCGCGAAGAAGCCCCACGCGAGAGCGCGATTCCTGAATATATTGTGAGAAAGACCCACGCGAGAGCGCGATGTGGGAATCAACTGTAAGGAAGTACAGGCCGGGAACCGCTGTTATTGTAAACCAAGGCCCATCAACACAGTTTGGTGGCACCTCATGTCTTTCTATGAAAATAACAAGGTGCGAGCCCTGGGAGAAGCACTTCAATTGAAACATGCAACGGTTACCGGAGGGGGAATCAACAATCAATATTTTTTGGAAGAGAGACTTCAACAACGACAGCAACACCAACAACAACATGAATCACTTTACCCACATGCTCTATGATTTCATTTGAAGCATGCATCCACTATGATAGCTGTCCCTCATTGGGGACCTTATCTTGCACAGGAGGAGCGGTGTTCCCTTATCCAGATCTCTCGCCCGAGGAAGTCTTGACAACACCTCTTCCGAGGCAATTCAACATCTCCAGCCTGGATGGCACATCGCCTTCGCCATCGCCTTCGCTCTTCTAGGTATCACACCGCCCGAGAGGCCCAAAACCTATGGGAAAGGCTCCCCCCTCCCCCACAACCTCTGGGAGAGCCCCCGGAGCACCTTGGACAGCCCCTGGAGCCAGTTGGAGAGCCCCTAGAGCCTTTCAGCGAAGTTTCAGAGTCCATGTGGGAACCATGAGGGCCCCTGGGAGGATTTCGGGCCATCTTGAAGGCAAGGCATGTTTTGAGAAGGCTTGGATCGGAGGTGCTTCTGAGCCTGGGGAAGGAAGAAGGGGAGGGAGCAGGAGGACGAGAAGGAGGAGGAAGGAGGAGGGAAGACGAGTGGGGAGGAGGAGGAGCAGAAGCAGGAGGAGGAGGAGGAGGAGGAGGAGGGTGAGGAGGAGGACGAGGTCGACGGGGTCGCCGCCGCGGGCTCTCGGGCCTCTGGTACGCGGAGCGCGCCAGGGAGGCACCGGTGCAGACCTCCGACACTGCATGCTGCATTCCTGAGGATCGGCGCCAGGGCCCAGGAATGCCTCAGGGCCTGGGACTCTTTTGAGCCAAAGCGAAGGATGCACTGAACGGGAACGTCGTTGTTTGCAAGAGGGGGGGGGGGCGCTTGCGGCGCCGAAGCGGGAGCGCCCGCCCTGAGTTGAAATCAAGGAAGTACCGCGCGGGAGCGCCGGTTCTGAGGGAAAGCCAGCTTTCGGCGGCGAGCAAGAGCCCTGGTCCCGAGCAGAAGAGGCGGAGGTATCGAGCGGGAGCGTTTTTGTTGCCCCCCTCCGGAGGCGTCCAGGCGCGACCTTCATTGTCAAAAGAGCTGCCTGCGTGCCGAGGCGTGAGCAACAGGGCGCCTCGAGGGGTTTAACAACAAGAATTGTTGAGGAGCTAGAATTCAACAGCAACAACTACTACAACAACAAATACAACAACAACACTCATTGTAAGACTGTTCGCAAACATCTGCTCGCGTGCCAATCAACACGTTTATCCCTAACTCTCGAGACCCGCCCTCTTCGTCTTCGATCGTGTCCCCTTACGGGTGGATCTTTCTTACCTGCAACGTGTACTTCGTACAGCCCCTAAGGTTAAGGAAGAGAGCACGGATGGAACAACGGGGCAAGGGGGACTGAGAAGGATGGAGCACGAGAGAGAATGGCAGGAGGTGGGCAAGGAGCAGAGAACACGTGGCAGAGCCAGACAGGCTCATCGGGCGGGCAGACCCTAGCGGGCGGGTCTGGAAGGCAGGCCCAGGCGGCAAGGTCGAGCAGGCGAGTTGCTGAAGCGTGATTCTGCATGAATCGCGTGGAGGTCTCGAAGCATAGCGCGATTCCCAAGTAAATCGTCAGGAAATCCACAGCGAGAGAGTGATTCCTGAGTGTCGGGGGCGCGGCGTCTGAGCAAATTGCGAAGAAGTCCCACGCGAGAGCGCGATTCCTACATACATTGTGAAGAAGCCCCGCGCGAAAGCGTGAGTTTGGAATACATTCTGAGGAAGTATGAAGCGGGAACCGCTGTTGTTGCAAACCGGGGTCCACAGACACAGCATGGTGACACCTCACTTTCTCTTGAGAAAAATACCGGAGAGGGGGATCAACAGAAACTACTCTTGCGAAGTGAAACTTCAGCCAACACAATCAGCGCCGCGGAGTCACACTTCAGCTACGCACCCAAGGACAGTGAATGAACGTTCGGCCCCCTCACTCTGATGTGTATACAGAGCTCCAGCGCATAAGCGGAGCGGGGAGAGCAAGGGGCGAAAGGGGATGGGAGGGGACAAAACGATTATCTCCCGCACTGCGGCCACGCTGGAAAGAAACAAAAAGAGGGAGAGAGAGCGCGCGGGAGAGGATGACCAGGAAACAAAGCGATGGTAGGGCAAGGGGGATGAACCGGGTGAAACGGAGGTCAAGGGAGCTGTCGCCTCCGTTCCCGTTGTTTGACGGGCGCTATGCGCTGGACAAACCGATCAGGAAGAAGTCGGGCTCGTAGCCAGATGGTGGTCCTGCCCTTCTGCTGCGCTTCTCGGGAGACTGGAGGAATCAGGATCATACCAATGGGTCTCCTAACAGACACAGGGGACCGCCTCTGCTACACAATCTGGGCGGAAAATGATACGATGCCGCGTGGGTGTGGGCGACGATGTAGACAACGCTGTGACTTACGCCGGCACCTGAACTCTGAGTCTCCATAAGGGGCAGCTGGCAGGCTGGCAGAACCACGGTGGGCAACTAAGTATGTAATTTAGAGGTGAAAGAATTTCCCCCCAGAATAGCCACCCCGACACGCGAAGTCGTTTAGCAGACGCCCAAGGCCTTTTTTGTAAACGACAGTTGTCGGGTCCGGCTTTTTCATTCCTTGAATGCTGGGGTCTCCCGCCATGAACTCCATACTGGTACAGGCGCCGAAGTCGTGTCACGCGACGGCCCTACGAGAAGTTTGGAGGTGGTGCCGGGGAGCTGGCTGACACGTGGATCGAAACTTGACTAGGTCACTTCATTTGACGGCGCTCACGTGCACTCCTCCGCGCGCGCTGGAAATGGCGTACGAGCGAGGACGAGGGGAGGAGGACGGGAAGGATGGCGGAGGGCGGAGGGTGAGGAGTGAGGAGGGTTGAAGCAGTGAGCAGGGAGGGAGGGCAAGAGGAAGCGAAAGGAGGGAAGTTGAGGGACAGCTTGGCGCGATCGCGTCAGATCTGACATTTTACCCCTGCCTCCCATCCCTTCCCATTGCGTTGTTTTTCTTTCTATCCGCGGACGCGTGTCAAAGCCAATCTAGAACTCCACAAAAGACCCCATTGCCCATTGCGTTAATTATGCGGAGAAGCAAGGAAAACCAGGGGAAGGAACAGGAGGACCAGGGGAAACAGGAACAAACAGGAACAGGGAGGAGCAGGAGAAGCAGGGGACCAGGGGAAGGCGGAGGAGGGGAAAGGAGGGGGGCGGCAACGATGAAAAAGGGCCCGGATGCAGAAAAGTGGCCCGCGCTGGGGATTCTGAGCGACGGGGACACAATGCCGATCCGAAAACGAGGCCCACGTTGCAACGGGACCACAACATTTGAAACACAACACAACCGGATTTAGTACTGCCAAAAAACAAAAACAACTCGGCACAATCCTGTGTAAAAAGGATGCGGAGAGGAGCGGAGATCTTCCAGACAGGGTCAGGGTCGGGCGGGCGGACCCAAACGCGCGGGTCGGGTCGGGCGGGCGGGACTTTAAACTGTGGGGCGCGCTCGACCGAGCATGCGCGAACCCTAGCGCGCGGGTCGGGTCGGGCCGGCGGATGCTGGCGGGCGGGACGGGTCGGGTCGGGCGGACCCAAACGCGCGGGTCGGGTTGGGCGGGCGGGCGGGTCGGGTCGGGCGGGCGGGACATTTTAGCGTGGAGCGCGGTCGACCGAGCACGGGCGAATCCTGACGGGCGGGTCGGGTCGGGCGGGCGGGCCTTGCCGGGCGGGTCAGGTCGGGTCGGGTCGGGCGGACCCAGGCGCGCGGGTCGGGTCGGGCGGGCGGGACAATAAAGAGTGGGGCGCGCTCGACCGAGCACGCGCGAACCCTGGCGCGCGGGTCGGGTCGGGCCGGCGGACCTAAACGCGCGGGTCGGGTGGGGTCGGGCGGGCGGACCCTGACGGGCGGGTCGGGCCCGGCGGGCGGGACATGACAGGGTGGGGCGCGCTCGACCGAGCACGCGCGAACGTGGGCGGGCGGGTCGGGTCGGGCGGCCGGACACTAACGGGCGGGTCGGGTCGGGTCGGGCGGGCGGGCCCCGAATGGAGGGTCGCGGTCGGGCGGGCGGACCCTAGCGGGCGGGGCGGGTCGGATCGGGCGGGCGGCTCCTGACGGGCGGGTCGTGCCGTGCGGGCGAGACATTAAAGTGCGGGGCGCGCTCGACCGAACACGCGCGAACCATAACGTGTGGGTCGGGTCGGCCAGTTTCTTTCGCCCACGGCAGCTGGTTTTGTCGACGGCAGCTGGTTTCGCCGACGGCAACTGGTTTCGCCGTCGCAGCTGGTTTCGCCGACGGAGCTGGCTTCGCCGGGCGGCAAAACCAGCCGGGCGAAACCAACCGGGCGAAACCAGCCGTTGGCGAAACCAGCAGTCACCAGGTGTGAAGGCCCCCATAGGCGGAAAATAGCAACAAATCAAATCCGCCGTGAAATGTTCAAGACGCGAAGGGGTCTCGGAGGGAGGATTTGAGCAGGCACCGACCGTCCCGGCATTCTTAGAAGACTGCCACGATAAGTTCCTAGACCAGACGTGTGTACGAACAAAAAGACACGGCCCCCTTCATAACATGCAAACATCTGTCATGAATTTGACTCGCCACTATATCAACCAGAATTGCTTTAAGAACGTGTCGGGCAAACCACCGAGGGTTCTTACAACAGTCTTCGGTCGACACATAGGCACATCAGGGCCCTTCGCTACTGCTTGAAGGACAGCTGCCCGCCACCTCGCCCCGCGGCGCCTGTGATGGCTCGCCGGGTCCGCGCCCGGCTGCCCTTCACCACCTCCGGCGGGGCGGCCGCCGGCTCCAGGCCGACCTCGGCACCAGGGGCAGCGGCTGCCGATGCGGGCCCGTCCTCCTCCAGCCCTCCAGCTCTGCTCGTCGTCGCTGTCGATGTCGCCCTTTTCCTCTTCCTGCCCCTCAACCTCCCCCGCCTCTCCTCCTCCTCCTCCTCCTCCTCCTCCTCCTCATCATCCTCCAACCGGGTCCTCTGCTGCGCCTCCTCCTCCTCCTCCTCCTCCTCCTCCTCCTCCTGCCTGTCCCCTTCAGAGCATGTGGGCCGCCTGTCCATACAGCGCACAGACTCCCAATCCTTCTTCTCCTCCTCTTTCCCCTCCTCTTCCTCTTCCACCTCCTCACTGTCCTGTTCCTCCTCTTCCCGCTTCTTCGCGTCGTTCTCCTTTTCCTCCATCCTCTCCTCCTTTTTCACCCTACCCCTCCTTCCTCATGCCTCCTCCACCTCCTCGTTCTCCACCTCCTCCCATATCCCCCTCCCTATCCTCCTCCTTCTCCTCCTCCTCTTACTCCTTCTCCACGTCCTCCTCCTCCTCCTCCTCCTCCATCTCGTCCTCCTCCTCTTCCGCCTCTTCCTCCTCCTCTTCCTCGTCCTCCTCGTCCTCCTGCTCCTCCTGCTGCTCCTCCTCCTCCTCCTCCTCCTCCTCCTCCTCCTCCTCCTCCTCCTCCTCCCCCCCTCCTCCTCATATTCCCCCCTCTGTTACCTAGTGCCTACAGTTTCGGCGCGAACGTGTCCACCAGAACTGGAGCTGCATGTATTGGCGCCGTGTGCGAAATAGTTCAACTCGATTGGGGGCCATCCAGGAGCACAAACTCTTCCTCCTAATGAAGGCCCGCTTTCTGAACGCCTTGGCTTAGCTCTTCCAAACCATCATATGACAAATCACACGTGTGTGCGGCAAGCGATTGCGCACGAATGCGATTAGGACGATTTTCTGCCTGAGCAATGCTGTTCCCACCACATATGTTCTAATATCCGTCCGTCCTGCATAATCTTTCATGAACGAATTAAAGGCGTGGGTTCTTGAGGTCGCAGTTGCCGACCCTGTACCCCGATGTAGGCGCAGACGCGTTTGGCGTCAGCTGCCAGCCTCGAGGACGGTGACGGGGAGGGAGAAGGTGGAGAGGAGATAGAGGGGAGGAGGAGGAGGAGGAGGAGGAGGAGGAGGAGGAGGAAGAGGAGGAGGAGGAGGAGAATTCTTTAGGATTATGTGGGGCCCGCTAGCCCTCGAGCCGATCGACCCCCTGACTAGCGACCCGGTCCCCGCTGCCTGGCGCCATGCGGCATGACAGCAGGGACCCAACTCGTTGCATGTCCTGTCGCGGGATAGAACATTCAAACGAAACCCCAGCAACACCAAAAACCAAGCAGCAGCCATCAGATACCAGGACAAGCAAATACCAGCAACACCAGGGCTAGCAACACCAGGACCAGCAGTACCAGCAATACCAGCAACACTAGGACCACTCAAACAGGAATATAGGTAGATCACCGCCATCTGCAATACCATACAAGCACCAACGTGACCACACAGATTAGTACCATCTCCTTCGCCATCACTACTATCACCATCACACAAATCATCACCATCAATATCACCAACACAGAAATCACCCACCATCACATCGCAAAGCATCACCAGCACTACCATAACCATAACCATAACCATAACCATCACCAGAACAACAAGCCATGGCCACGTGAAAACAACAACAACAAAACAAGCATAAACGTTCGCAGCCAATCTGGCTCAGGCAGTTGTCCGAGCATCCGCACCCGTGAACACACATACGATGCCACCCAAAGGCCGTCCCGGCGAATTCACGCTATTCCAGGGTCACGCGTTTAGGCTTAGCACGGCCAACGGAATTGTTGATAGCGTCGTGGAGGTCTCGGACTCGCCCCCGCCAGAACCAGTGCCAGCACCAGAAAATTCTTCGAGCGCGTCCGACTGTCTTTCCGCAGACCTGCGGGACATGCTTGGATTCGAATTGATGGAAGAAGAGCAGGCCCACACGGCGCTCTCGTTCTGCCATGCCATCGACAACGACATGACCGCGGTGGTGCAGGCCATTAGCAACATGAAGATCATCGCCAGTGCGTGGTTGGTGGAGCTCCTTGAGCACAAGTACACGCAGGAGCTAATGTACAAAATCGACGAATTCTTGATTCAGAACGTGTCGGCTGAGAGCTACGCTGACGCTCACAACTGTGGCGCACCTGATCGGCACCTCATCGAGATGAAGGATAGCTTGCTCAGCAGCATTTATCACCTGCGGGAGGATGCGGAGCTGTGCTTGGGAAAGCGCGGCTCAGCCAGCTCCTCGTCGGCAAAGCGGTGCAGCACGTCACCGAACAAGGTTGTTAAAAAGTCGAAGAAGGTGGACGATGATGACTCACCTTGATGCCTTGTTTCTCTCGTTTCGGGCGACTCTGCAGGCAACATGCAATGATATAGGGGCTCGGGTGTATCTCATTCAGCTGTGGAACGCAGGACTCAGACGAGTCAACAACGAATGGACGCGAGTCCGAGTTCAGGACAGCAGGTTGGGTAAATAATGCAGGCGTCATCGCATCGTCACCATCGCAATCAGCATTAACATCGCCACCAAACAAGTACGTAGACACCAAGTGTAAACAAACAAATAACGCATAGTGGAAAAACACATAGCCCTCGCTAGGTGTCGTCGACGTCAGCGTCCTCACAGCCATTAAATCACCATAACATAACAACACTGTGCATCCCCACCACTACCAGGAAACATGAGCTCGAGCGACCCTCCCTTCCCCTGAAGATCCTTGTGGGTGGGGTGGGGTGGGGCGGGGGGGGGGCAGAACGGCATTTTCCCAAACCCCGCTGGTTCGTGCTCCCCGTGGCGCGTGGATACCGTGACCTCCCTCGCGGCTTAAGTGGCTGCAGCAAAAAGTGCGCTACGAATGCCAAAACACAGTAAGTCCCCCACCCCGCCCCAGCTTCAGGGACAGCGGAAGGAGACTTCCCAACAAAGAACTAAAACTAAATTCTGTTCGTGGGCCTAGTTGCGCGTCCAGAGGACCTATCATGAGCTGACTGTTTTCGCCGGTTAGACAGCGGCTGGCCATCTGGATGTGTTTTCGCTAAGTGGCACGAATCGGCTCCGAAATATTGTGCAGAGCACGAGTGCGCCGTCGTGGGCACAGGCCAACGCCCAAAGGTGCAAGAATGCACTCTTGCATCCTTGCATTCTTGCCTGCATTCTTGCATTACTGCTTGCATTCTTGCATTCTTGCATTCCTGCATGTACTTAATCAAAATGTGCAAGAATGCAAGAATGCAAACATGTATCATTGCACTTTGGCATTCTTGCTTGCATCCTTGCCTCCAGGTTCCGGGCCTTTCCGCCATTCCCTCGCCACTTGGGGTCAAGCCTGCGCAGTGTCTCCGGTATTCAGGCGCCGTCGAGTGCCCCCAGACTGCAGTCATTCCGCCTAGAACTACGAAGGCGAAACTGAGCCAGATTCGACCGACAGATAAGGAGGTTGCGGAAGCCAGGGCCAAGTTGGAACAGATGGACAAGGGCAAGCTTCGAAGCGCGACGACGTGCATGCAGGCCGTTCTCAAGGCGAATCCCGATGATGCAGTAACCCTCAGCACGTCTGACCTGAAAGAGAAATACCTGCTCCACTTCCTTGTGCACAAGATGCGCGTCAAGAACAACACGAAAAATATTCAGATCGAGCGAGTTGCCAGCACGAGCAACGAAACAATCAAGGAGTTCTATTGGTGGAACAAGAACCAAATTAGCCAAACACTAGGGGAGGAGATGGCCGAGCACTACCGTGCGGGTGGCAAGATCCTGAAAGTCCCAAACATGGTCACGGGCAGTACCGACGAGAATCACGTACAGTGGGGAGTCCCAATTAACTCTCGAGACATCCTCCAAACATTGCCTTCGGACGGGTCTTCCGAGGCGGAATTATTGAAATACCTATGGTTTTGTCTATCAGTTTTGCTCGGGAAAACAATGCGTTTCGCTCGAGGCATCTTCAAACATTGCCTTCGGACGGGTCCTCGACACCATCAGGTTTCCTCCTCCTCTTCCTCCTTCTTCTCTTGTTAGCGCCACGTCTGAACTCGCGCGGGTAGTGACATCCACCTGGTATCTTTTGTGTGCGTTTGTCTCCAGCCGACCTGTGGTACATTTGTCTCCATCATCGTCGTCGTCGTCGTCGTCGTCATCGTCGTCGTCGTCATCGTCGTCGCCGTCGTCGTATGGTAACGGTCGGTTCAAAGGGCGACACCAATTCAAAAGCGCCACGCCGTAGAGAAGACGTTCGTAGGATACTCAGGAACAGGGTTGTCAACGTTCGGGGAGCGCGCGTCCATAGGTATCCCCTGTGGACGTTCGGGGAGCTCGCCCACATTACGGTTCATCGTGATGGTGCTGCACGTTCGTGCGCAATTATTCTCTTTTACGCGCTTCCCGTTCAGGTCAGGAAAGGCTTGCTTCAGCCTTGTGAGCAGAGATGGAGAGAGAAAGAGAGAGAGAGAGAGAGAACGAGAGCAATCCATAATAAGAGACAGAGAGACGTATACACATACATATGCATACGCAAATACATATACAAATACATGCATACATACATACATACATACATACATGCATGCATACATACATATAACGCACAGCCAACCATGCAACTGTGTTTACATACATACCTACATACATACATACATACATACATACATACATACATACATACATACATACATCAACCCCACGCAAATCGATACACCAGCTTGAGGGGCCGAACAGCCATCTACTGTCACTGGGCGCGTGTCTGAAGTAATACTATGCGGTGCCGTTTGTTGATGCTGCTGTTGTTGCTGTTGTTGATGTCTGTCGTTCGTTGTTGCTGTTGTTGCTGTGGTTATTGTGGTGGTGGTTGTTGTTGGTGCTGGTGTTGACGTCGTTGTTGTTGATGCTGTTGCTGTTACTGATGTTGTTATGTGTTGTTTGTTGTCGTCGCCCCCCCCCCGCGACTTGGCCCGCGACCCACCCGCGACCCACCTGCGACCCAACCCAGGACCCATCCGCGACCCACCCCGCGACCCACCCGCGACCCACCCGCGAGCCTCGCAGCCTGCCGTCCCCGACGCCCCCTTCACTCATATCCGCAACTGCGGGGTGGTACGGATACAGAGAGAGAGTGATATATATATATATATAGAGAGAGAGAGAGAGAGAACAACAAAAAAGAAAGAGATAGAGAGAGAGGGAGAGGGGGAGAGAGAGAGAGAGAGAAATACAAAGAGAGAGAGAGAGAGAGGGAGGGAGGGAGGGAGAGAGAGAGAGAGAGAGACCGAGAGAGAGAGAGAGAGTGAGAGAGAGAACAGAGAGCGAGAGAAAACGTGTTCTCATTCGACGTTTCGACATTGGGCGGAAGGCGGTGGGATGGGGGGGGTCTGGCTTCGGACCTCTGATTGATGCGACTATTTGCAACAGTGCGTCCTAGAGAGGAGACGAAGAGACCCCACCTGAAACAAACGCCCAAACAGCCAAGACCTACTCCATGGGGCGGGGGGGAGGGGTGAGAGGGCCCGCGCCGATCGGCAAATCAATGAATAAGAAAAATATCGTCTGAGAGAGAGAGGGAGAGAGAAAAGAGAGACAGAGAGGGAGATAATGAGAAATAGAGAGAGAGAGAGAGAGAACGAACGAGAGAGAGAGAGAGAGTGAGACATAGGAAGAAAATAACAAAGAAAGAAAAATAGGATGGAAGTGTCCTGGTCCTGGTCATGATCCGGTTCCTCATCCTTGTCCGCATTCTTGGACGTGCTCCTGAATCCGTTCTTGTTCCGTGCCCCTCCATATTCTGTTCTTTTGGACGGCGAGAGGGAGGGGAACTCGCCTGCGCCACCGTGGGGCTGCGCGCAGCAGCCTCGCCCGGGTGCGCAGCCGCCGGATCGCCCCCTGCAGCGAAGAGGGGGGAATTGACGCCTCCCTTCAACTCCCTCATCCTGCACTAAAGAAAGACCACGTCGCGTGAGCATGAACGTTCGGAGAAAAATCCCACCAGCGCTCTGGTCGCAGGTGGTCTAGGGCGCTTCATGTGACAAAAAAATGCACGCCGCACTCTGCCTCCACATTTGGAACATGCGCGGCCAACTCGATTGCGGACCCCCACCATCCCTGTCAAAACACAATGCAACGTATAATTTTGGGGCAAAGTCTTGAGTCACGTTCGTGCTGCCCGCGATCATGTTGTATGGTTTTTGATAAGGACAGCGGGGGGTGTCAGCATATTCCCTGTTGCGCGCAAGGCTACAATCCCTGACACAACCATCAATACAACATGCACCTCGCTGCCAAATTTGGCTCGTGCGCGGCCATCCCGCGATCATTGTCAAGTGGTTTTTGACAGGGACGGCGGGGGTGGTGGCGCGAGGCCTGCTGTGCGCAGGCCCACCAGACACAATGATGGGCATCGGTTTCCGACAAGGATGGCGGGGCCGACATTTTGCCCGATGTGTGCTGTCACGTGCGCAGGCGCACCTGGCGCACTCGGAGCACGTTGCGCACCTGGCGCACCAGGCGTGCCTGGCACGCTCGGGCCCGAAGGGGAGCCTGGCGCGCGTGTCGCCCCCGGCACGCGCGGCGCACCTCGCCCAAGCGTCGGGCACCTGGGGTCGGCTTTGTCTCCCAATAGCTGCCCATCCAAAGACGACCGCGGAACATGCTCAGGCACGGGTGCTGCTTATGTGTAGGGAGGGCGGGTGGGAGTGAGCTAGATGGCTTGCGGGCGGGTGGGTAGCTTGACCCCTCCCTACACCCACCCCCATGGACCTGGACGGGGGGGGGGCCGCGACACGTTGGACCGTCCAAGATGGCCCAAGATGGTTCCAAGAGCGTCTCGGAGAGCCCAAGACGACCGCCAAGATGGCTCCATATAGCCCAAGATGCCGCAAGATGGCACCCAAGATGCTCCAAGAGGCCCTAAGGCCGCCCCAAGACGGCCTCAAGCCTCCACCGCCGGGAACGCAGCGGCCAGCATGATCTGGCTTCAAAAGTGCGAGAAACAAAAAAAGCAGGTTGGCGGAGAGGAGAAGGCCAAATTCACCAGGGGATGCGACTGGGGGGATGCCCTATTGTTGGAAAAGGAAGCCTTTCCTCGAAATGCTACAAGACCGCGCGCTTGCAGTGACCGCCACAATTGAAGTGGTGGTGCTAGATGTTTATAAGTATGCGTGCTCCAAGACCTGGATTTACGACGCTCATCAGAGCAACTTATGGTAAACACCTAGGCCATGCGATGGGCGGCACTTCTCACTGAACCGTTGTAGGAGACGCGTCCCTGAAGTAGCCTGTCTTTGGTTGGCACTCGGGTAGGTTATGGGCACATCAAAGCTCTCATCAAATGCGAACGAGCCAGCGGGACATATCAGAACACTTACTACTGTCCCCATCCTCAAGCACAAACGAGACTGACGATGGAAGGGATGATCACGGAGAGCAGGAGGATACGCGGGTCAGGAGCATAACGATGATGAGGGGGAAGAGCAGGAGGAGAGGAGGAGCATGACGTAGACGAGTATGGGGACGATGTTGTAAAGAGGGTGGGCATGACGAGGAATCGCAGGATGATGATGCTGCTGCTGATGCTGCTGCTGCTGCTGATGATGATGATGTTGGTGAAGGTGATGATGGTGATTGTGATGGTGATGGTGACGGTGATGGCGATGATGCTGTGAGAAGTGTGTAGGTGGGGAGGGAGGGGCCCAGACATCCGGCGCTCCGGTTGCCTGGACGCGTGGACCCCGTGGGTCTGCACGCCCTGCCCACTTGCTGCTCGTCCCGCGCCGTTGGCTTGGCGGCCCCGGGGCCCGTGGAGGGCCCCCGGGCGTCAAGAACTGCGCGACGCTGCCCGCTCCGACTTCCCCGAAGCCTGGGACCTCTCGGGGGGAGGTGGGCACGAGAGAGGGGGGGGGGGGGGGGGGGGGGGGGGGGGGGGGGGGGGGGGGGGGGGGGGGGGGAGGAGGCAGCAGTCGAGAAGGGGCGTCTTGGGGGGGGGCGGGGGCGAGGCCTGGCGGCGCAGGCTCGCGGTCGCTCGGCGAGAGCCTGACGTCCTCCACCGGCCAGGCCGGCGGCTCTCCTCTTCCTGGCCTTCGCCCCTTCTCCCTCGGCTGCCCCCGTCCCTCCTCGTCCCGCTCCTCCGGCCCCCTCTGCCGCTTGCTCCTCTCCTCTCCTCCGTCCCCATCTCCTCTCCTCTGCTCTCTCAGTTCTCCTCCTTCTCTGTCCCCTCTTCTCTATCTTCCCCCCTTCTTTACCTCCCCATCCTGCGTCTTCATCTTTTCCTCCTCCTCCTCCTCCTCCTTCTCCTCCTCCTCTTCCACCCCCTTGTTCCCCTCCTCGTCCCAGTCCTCGTCCTCGTCCTCCTCGAACACAATTAACAATAATAGTACTACTTTCCTCTCTCACCTGGTGGCGTCCGGGAAATGTTCGGCCCCCTCCGCCTGCGGGTTTTTAGCACACAGGATTCCCGGGAATTTGGTTTTCGCTGTTTTTTTGCAAATGCTGCTCTCGCTGAGGCGCTGCCTTCATTTTCGGGTTACCGCTCGTTTCGAATCGTGCTCCCGCTGCAGCGCTGGCCTCATTTTTGCGCTTCCGCTCGTTCCGAATCGTGCTCCCGATGCAGCACTAACGTCATTGTTTCCAGCGCCACGCCACGGCATGGTTTTGGGTCCTGCCAAACAGGCCCCAAAATCTAAAAGAGGACCCTCGAAACAACCATCGGAAGTGATTTCACATTCGGTGCCGGTTCGTTGATGTTTTGGGTCGCAGAAGCCCCCCCCACTTTGGGGCGTCGCCACGCTATCGCGTTGATCTTCAACACCATGCTGTGCCATGTAATTCGATGCCCTGCTACGACATCCGACTGTGCGAACAGAGGGGAGATCTACGCCATGGTAAGGGATGGGAGGGAGGGGTAGGACGTCAGATATGACGCGGGCGCACCTAGCACCTTCCCCCCCCCCCCCTACCCCCTCCTAACCCCCCCTCCCTCCCCGTTCTCTCAAACCCCTCCTTCACCTTCTTCCTCCTCCGCCCCTCAGCCCGCGCCCACCAACCCTCGGGCCATCCTGCACGATTTCCCCCAGGGCCGTAGGCGACCCGAGAGGAGGAGGAGGAGGAGGAGGAGGAGGAGGAGGAGGAGGAGGAGGAGGAGGGAGGAGGAGGTGGAGGAGGGGATGGGGAGGAGGAGGTGGAGAGGGGTGGGGGAGGAGGAGAGGAGGAGGAGGAGGAGGAGGAGGAGGAGGTGGAGGAGGAAGAGTAGGAGGAGGAGGAGGAGGAGGAGGAGGAGGAGGAGGAGGAGGAGGAGGGAGGAGGAAGGAGGAGGAGGAGGAGGAGGAGGAGGACGGGTCGACCGACCCTCGGGCCATCCCCCACGGCCAGCGCACCGCAAACCGCCTGGGTTCCTCAGGCCCTCGCTGCGAGGGAAGACAGACGGCCTCCCTCTCGGGCACACCTCTCGGGGCTGCAGCTGTCACGAACGTTAATTAGAGAAAGAAAAAGCAATACAAACATGAACTTTGGGCGGCGCCGGAGGCGCTGCTGGGGGGCCCAGCGCGGATCCAAGAAATCCGCACGGAGCGCCAAATATGTTTATGGCGTGTTCCTTCGGTTAGTTAATCTAGACGAGGAAAACCATATCCACCCCCACCGGGGAAACCTTGGCCCCGATGGACAGTGGACCCCCCCTGTGGTGAGGATGGGCACCATCTCCGCCGGGTTTCGCAACACCCATCCCCACCTAGAGGGGGTACGCTGGAAGGGCCAACTTACCCTGACCTTGTGGGGGTGGGGATGGTTCCGACGATAATGAGATAAGGAATCAACTCACAAGAATTCTGGGTGGCACTCTCGCTTTCGACCTTTGAGGGTCCGAAGGTGCCCCAGAAGAGCTTTAGCGGGCACTCCCGGGGTTCTGGGTGGACACGGACATCATCTGTGGGGCACCAGCCGGCAGGGCGATCCCGCGGCTTGGTCTGCTGCTCCGTCCGCGCGCACTGTGGGCATCCATCGGCGCTGCGGCCAAAAGGTGTTGCCCCTGCACACGCTGTCCGACGACTGTCAAACCATGGAATGTCTGGATGCAAGATTCTTGGAACCCATGACAAGCAAGGGTGCGCGCGTCCGCAAGGGTGCCCTTGGGACAGAGACCCGACAACATGCTAACGATAGCCAGAAACGAAGGATACAAGGTGCCCTTGCGAATCGGGCATATCCTGAACGCCAGTTTTGACTGTACCCCTGGTCGGGCAAGGGTGCATCCAGTAAGCGCCGCTCGTCGCCTGAATGTGAGCAACGTCCGCTGGACACGGCTCGTGCACAAATGTGCTGGTCAACCTTGTGACTGGTAGCAGCACGATCGGCAACGTGTCAGCCTCATCACCGCCGATGGCATGCAAAGTGCAAGTGGCAGGGCAACGCACATGATCACCATCATCAACTCGTGAACCATGATCTCACGCAATACGAACAAGCTAAACCATAACAATTGTGGTTTCCTTCACACTGGATGCCAACGCTGGCCCCACCGAGTGCATCCTTGAAGCGCGATGGCCTGACCACAGGTCCAGCGTCTGCAGCAGGAATGCCGTCTTCGACGCCTGCCACTAATGGAATGCCCTCAAGCCCCAGGTGCCCTTTGCATCCTCCCACACCCCTTTTCCCTCCTAGTCCTCCTCCCCTCTTCCTCTCCCCCTCCTCCTACTGCTCGTTGTCCTTCTCCTCCTCGTCGTTCCGCGCTTCTCGGACGGATTCGGTCTACTACCCGAAGTGGCATCGAGCTGGTCAAAAAGCCTGGAGCGGAGACACGCTGCGAAAAACGTGAGCTGACACCTAACGGTTGTTTGGTTCAGGCGGTCCCCACCCAAGAACGCAAGGCGGGACGTCCAGGGCGACTCAGATACTGACGGAACCTCCGAGGACTCACCAGCTCCCCACCAACCAGTGTGCGAACGTGTTCGCCCCACCCGCGGCACCATCCTAAAGCATAAGATTAGCAAAGCTGATTCGCGCCCCCATCGAGGTGGGTGAAAACTTGGAAGGACGCGGCACGCCGTCTTGGACCAATGTCAAAATAAAGTGTGGCCGATGAGCGCCAGTCAAAGCGAAACAGCCTAAGCGAAATTGAGCAACTTCGTAGTTGAGCCGAGGGGAAGCACCTTCCCTTTGATCCCTTCCCCACCTGGGGGGGGATCCTGGGGGGGGCGCGGGGGGGGTAGGGCGGGGGTGCCTGGGAGGGGTCCTGGGTTAGAATACTATCCGTCCTGGGTCAAAATACTATCCCCCCGGGGGGGGCTGGGGCCCAGAGGCGCCCCCAAGGAACCGCCAGGAAGCCCCAGGAGGCTCCCAAAAGGCTCCCCAGACACTCCCAAAACTTAGTGTTCTTGGGCACCTCTTGGGGGCCTCGTGTAGCCTCTTGGGCACTCTTGGGAGCGTCTAATCCTGACCTCCCTGAATGCCTCTTCCATCGTGGGGGTCGTCGTCCAGGGTCGGCGGCACCGGCCACAAGGCCTCAGCAATAAAGTACCAAAGTGTGGCCGAGGAGCGTCTGGGGGGTCCAATTTTAGACGCGATCGTATTGACACGTCCGTTGTACTGCGCCTCGGGGACCTCGGGACGAGAACTGGGAGGAGGACGAGGAGGGATGGGAAGAAGGCGGGAGGAGGGAGGATCGGAGGTGAGGAGAGAGGAGGGAGGGTGAGGAGGTGGGAGGGAGGAGGGACAAAAGGAAGAAGGCGGCGGCGGGCTCGTCAGGAGCACGACGAGTCAGACTGCGCCACAATGGACAACACAAAGTTAGGTCGAGCTCCTCGGGTGCGGCCTCAGAGCCGATCCAGGGGCCTCCAGTGGCGAACCGAGAGATCCGCCCGGACCTCCGAGCCCGCTCTGCCCGTGCCACTCGTCGCGCTCCCCCGGGGAAGCGCCGCCCCGGCACCGGCGATGCGTCGCCGAGAGCCCGGCGAGAAGCCCCTGGCAGCAGAGCGGCGGGGCCCCGGGCGGCGTGCGCTCTCGGGCCCCCTCTCGTGACTACCTACCAGACCACCCCAACCCAACCCGAAGACCCGAATTTCGGGTTGGGGTGGGTACGGGTTCCATACGTGTTTTCTCGATGTTCCCCGACCCCCCCCCCACTGGAAATGGAGGTCAATTTGAGGCCTTCGGGTTGGGTTGGGGTGGTTTGGTGGGTGGTGATCTCGGCGATCCGCGCGCGCGGGGGCCGAGGCGGCCCCCCCCTGCAGCGGATCCCCTGCAGTGCTCGCGGGTCGGACCTCGGGCCGGGCCTCCGGCGGCCGCTCGGGGCGCTCTATAGGCACCCCCCGGCACGCTCTCAGCGCATCGCGCCTCCGCGGGAAGGCCTCCCGAGGCCGGAAAGCCACGAGGGAGCACAAGCACAACTGAAACTACCTCGACCTCGACCCCCCCCCCCCCCCCTCGACCCTCGACCCTCGGACCTCGATCCCCCCCCCCCCCCCAGTGTTGCCTCTGCCTCTCCCGACCCCGGCCCATACCTCGAGTTAGCCAAGACTCCGCGTCTCCTGTCTCCGATGGAGGTTTCCAACGGTTGCGCAGATGTAGGGTGGGTCGTTGATATCAGTCCTGGCTCTCGCCTCAGCGCTCCGCACATTCGTAGTGGAGAGCGTTTCAAAATATCGTTATCGCCCGATTGCACAGTCCTCCCAGCGCCGTAGCGCGGCAACCGCACGGATGAGAGGCGTGCACTTTCCACACGGAGCTCTCGCTTGAGACTTCCGCAAGTGTCATCATCCAGTGCCTGATCTTGCTGTACAGCGACATGAATGGAGGGCGACTGATTCCCAACACGAAATATCGAAGCATGATTGACGCATCCTGGTTTCTGTGGCCCTACAGCCTCCTCCTCCCGCTCCTCCTCCTCCGCCCCCGTCTTTGCAGCCAGTTCGTCTCAAGCTGGCTCGGGAGGACTGCTTTGGAGTTGCTGCATAAGTGGAGAAACGCGTCTGGCTGCCGAACGCGGCGCTCCCCACAATGGAAAGGCACTGGTTTATCGCCTCACACGCAGGCTTGATGTCGAGATCGCTGGACAGGCGAATCCCACAGACTGGCTGAATGCTCGGGATCGACTGGCAAGGCGCACGGGCTGCTCGCCTTCGCCGCAAACCCTGGCCCGTCCTGACATCATCCGATCTCGTGGCGAAGTTCGCATGCGTTCCCAAACCCATTTCGGCGCACCCCTCACACGCTTCGTGGCCCCATAGGGAGCTCCAACGCGGCCCCATAAGGAGCACCAACGACGGCCCCAATGGCAAAATTCGCATGCGCTCCCCCGTCCCAATTCCGGCGCACCCTCGCACGCTCCGTGGCCCCTCCACCAAAAGGCTCTGTGGCAGGATTCGCATGCGTCCGCCCCGCCCCCTTTCGGCGATGACACGTTTTTTGGCCCCGTAGGGAGCTCCACTGCAGGCCCCACTGGCAAGTTTGGTATGCGCCCCCCCGCCCAATTCCGGAGCACCGCTCATACGTTTCGTGGCCTCACAGGGAGCTCCACCGAAGGCCCTCTTGCAGGTTTCCCATGCCTCGCCCCGCCTCATGTCGAAGCATCCTTCGCACGCTTCGTGGCCCCATAGGGAACTCCTCCGAAGGCTCCACAGGCACATTTCGCAGACAGCCCCACCCCATTCCGGCGCAACACCGAAGGCCTGAGCGGATAAAAATGCGTGCGCTCCCCCGACTCATTCCGGCGCACCCCTCACACGCTACGTGGCCCCATAGGGAGCTCCGCTGAAGGCCCCAGCGGCAAAATTCGCGTGCGCTCCCCGACCCATTTCGACGCGCGTCCCTCACACGCTTCGTGGCCCCATAGGGAGCTCCGCTGAAAGTCCCAGTAGCAGTGTTCGCATGCGCCTGCCAGCCTCATTTCGGCGCACCTATGCGCACCTATCACACGCTTCGTGGCCCCATACGGAGCTCCACAAATACCACTGAGAAAACCCAATCAGTGGATGATTTGAAAATTGATACTATGGATCTTGAGATCGATTGTGAAATCGATAATGAGATCGATAGTGGAATCGATAGTGAGGACGATTGTAAGGTCGATCGTGAGACCGAGAATGAAATCGATTCAATGAAATCGATAATGATATGGATCGCGAGATCGCTTATGCGATCTCTAATGAGATCGCTTGTAAGATTGATAGTGAGATCATTGTGAGATCGATCGAGAAATCGGTAATGAAATCGATGGTGAGACCGATCGATAAGAAAATCGACCAAGAACCCGGGAACCCGGGAACCTCGCCGCCCTCCGAAATCGGCCCGGCACCCGGAACCGGGAACCCGGAACTGGGAACCCGGGAACCCGGGAGCCCATTGTGCGACCAAAATCGGCGGGGCACTTTCGCCAAATCCTTCAACATCCGCGAGGACCCCTTCATTGCAAGCACTGATTGGGGAACATTGAATGCGATCCGTAATGACCTCGACAATGAGATCGATAGTTCACCATCGGCCCGGAACCAATGATCAAGAACCGGGGAACCCGGAACTGGGAACCCGGGAACCAATGAGATCCGTAACGAACTCGACAATGAGATCGGTAGTGAACCATGGGCCCAGAACCAATGACCAAGAACCTGGGAACCCGGGAACCCGGAACCGGGAACCCGGGAACCCAGCATGCCACCAAAATCGGCGAGGCACTTCCGCCAACTCTAGCAACATTCGCAAAGACCCCTGCATAGTAACCACTGATTGGGGAAAAACGTCCGGGGCAAAAATCGCATGGCGGCCCCGCCCCATTCCGGCACACCGTTCACACGTTTTGTGGCCCCACAGGGAGCTCCACCGACGGCCCCGATGGCAAAATTCGCGTGGGCCCCGCCCAATATGAGCGCGCCGCTCACACGCCTCGTGGCCCCGTAGGGATTTCCTCCGACTGCCCCAACTGCAGGGTCCACATCCTGTTCCCCGGGCATGTCGGCACACCACTCACACGCTCCGCAGCCCCAGAGGGAACCTCAACTATGGCCCCGGTGGCAGGGTCCGCGTGCAGTTCCTCATCCATTTCAGCACATGTTTCGTGGCCCCATAAAGAACTCCCCCTCCTTCGTCCAACCTGCCTCGCGGTACTCGTAATTTGCAACTCGCGGAACTACTGTGAGAAGCAGGTTGCTCGGGGATGGTAGGCGCGCTAAATGTTTTCCGTTTCCAATCAACGGTTTTCGGTTTTGCCGCCACGAACAACAGCGAGCTCGTTTTCTAGTGCCGAGAAGCGGCAAGAACGATTGACCACGACGTAGCAAGCATGCAATTTCACGCCTGAAATCCAGCAAAACGGCCGCACATGTCCAAAACGAAACGAACATCCAATCTCGCCCGCGCACGACACGCGAGCGACAAACAGCTGGCGATCCAAATTATGAGCAAAAGCAGCCGCAGACGGCGACCGCGCATGAAGTCCCTCATGCTTTTGCACCACGCAGAAAAACCACATCCGAACAACACCTGAGACACTTAGAAACCCAATGTCCCGATACCCAAATGCCAAGCACATCTGGAAGAGAAGCGCCGCGAAATGCAATCGACCGAAATTGAGGCCAACCCAAAACGACCCCATTTTCCG